GCAAGACCTGGTTTTTGAGTTTTGTTTTCTATCATAAAGAGGACTAATTTAAAAAAAAAAACAGCTGTTGACAAGTCCGCATTGCAGCTATATGGTAGGATGTCGCATCAAAACATTGGCCTTATCTCATATTGTATTTTAGCCAATCTTCAAACAGATGATGATTTGGACTATATGTCGTGTAGCTACTAGATGCCCCGCATAAGTTAACGGAGAGTTATGACTCTTCGGAAGATCACAATCTTCACCGCGGTAAAACTGACGAAACTCGAAATTCTGAAGATTTTAGGCATAGCAGCCTGATACTAAAGAAAAAGCCCCGCAATGACCATTAACGTACCATAATAGCAGCCGGGACCTTCTCAGAGTCGTCATCATCGTGATGCTTTACTTTGTGTAGAGGGAGTGGTGGAGCCTTGAAGGCCTCCACTGGCGAAGCCTCTGACATTTCTAGAAGAATGATTTCGAAGAAATCTTCGAAAATCGCGGGTAGTAATTGACCAACAATCGGAGGCAGCGACGGCCAGGCGGCCGCTCCCGTTCTAGTCGGATCTCAACAGGGCAGTTTTGCCGTCCTAGCATTTTTTCTCTCTTCAAGTGACCTCATAGGCAGCTTATTTGAAATTATAACTTTTCCAAAAGTGACATAATTTGTTTCAAAAGATCTAAATAAAGTTCATGCGGAATTACTTAAGATGAGAGCAGGGAGTGTAGCCAGAAAGCGATGAAATATTGCAACATTAAGTTCCCTCTTTTGGGTTTATAAGTTACTAAAGACCGGGTTGTTTTCAATGCACATAAAAGTTTTGATGCATAGAACTTCAGCAAATTTCACAAGAGATGGCGCGGGTCTCGTTTTTTGGCTAAAATAATCCAAATTTCTCATCAACTAGTCTGTTCTGCAGTTTTTTTCTTAAATAATTAAAAATGTCGTTTTCCAAGACCACATAATTGCTGTTCTTCAAAAAAAAAAAAGGTCTGCAGCGCAGAAGTGCGGTCAAACGAACAACTACTAGAGCTTGTTTGTAAAGATTATTTTTTACAGCAAAAAGTGCAAGCATTTTCTAATCGAATTTGAACATATATCCACCTCTACATTAATAGGCCGACAGAGAAATAGATGTCTTTTTCTGGAGTCCCAATTCTTATCTTTTTCGATACCATAACCGTACCTATAGGTAGAAGATATAGAGAAGATGTGACTCAAACGTCAAATTCAAAATCATTGTGACTTAGCTCTTT